GGTCCCGTGAGTACCGGGCGGGCTGGGGGCAGCCGGGCCCCCGACGGGCTCTGCCGCCGCCCCGGCACCGCCGCCAGTAACTTTTAGGGATGGTTTTGGGGGGTTTGGGGGAATGTGGGGGAGGGTTGCCCCGGCCATTTCCCTCCACCCCAGCATCCCCCCGCATCCCCATCCCCGAGAGCTTCCGCTCCCCGTTCCGGGCAGGGGATGGGAATGAGCCTTAATTCTGGGTGCTGGGCTGGGGGGCTGGTTTTTTTGGGGTGGGGTGAGAAGCAGGAAAAAGAGAGGGGACCTCCCTGGGTGCCACCAGCCCTGTGTCCCCCCCGCCACCTTGCGTAACCCAGCGGCAGGCAGGACACTTGGCGTTTATTTTTGGTTAATCCATATTCGACCTTTTTAAGCTGCGTTTTGGTGTGTGCGTGTGCAGGGCCCTGGCCCGAAGCCCCCGGCCCGCAACTGTTGCTGTCGGAGGCATGGGCGAGAAAGAGGAGGGTGATGAGGAAGAGGAGGGTGATGCTGGGTGGTGGCAGATGAAGGTTGAAAGGAGACGGTGCTTGCTGGGGACTGCCAGCGCTTCTCCCTCCTGAGTCGCTCCCCCCCGCATGGGGACAAGGTTGGTGATGAGTTGGCTTTGGGGAGGTTTTGCTGCTTTCCCTCCTTTTGGGGGGCTCTGTCGAGGTCTCCTTGCTCCACAGGGGTGTCCCCCATCCAGGCAATGACAAGCCCTGGGACAACGCAGTGCCCTCCCCGGTGCCCCCCATCCTCCCAGTGCAGCTCCCCTAGGTTTGGGTTTGCTCTGTCCTTTCTGTCCATCGGCAGCCGGCCCCCCCCCCCCCCCGCCGGCAGGCGGCTCCCCTTCAGGCTCGGAGGCTTTTTTTGAGGGATAAGGTTTCTCTTTCTCCAGAGATTTTTTGCATTTGGGGATTTTATTTCTCCCTTTCCTGAGGTCAAAAATATCTGCAGGACCTGTTCCCCTCTTGGGTCAGGGGAGGGAGGGTTGGAAGGAGGGCAAAAAGGAGGTTTAAAATTAGGAACAAACTTTCCCTGTTGCATTAAAATGACATTTCAGGGGGTGGTGGGAGGTAAGGGCTCGATGGTGCCTTTAGCAGGAGGTTTCTGCGAGTGTTTGGTGTATCAGGTAAAGCTGTACCTAGGAAAGGGGTTAACCTGCTCGAAACTGCCCCAAAGCAACAAAAAGCAAGTGCTAAAGCCACTGAGCTGCTCCGTGGGTGTCCTTCAGTCCCCGGGAGGCTGCTGGGAGGTGGCATTGCCGTGCCCGGGCTCCCGGCCGAGACCACCTTCCTCCTGCTCCAGCCAGCCACCGGCTCTTCGCCCAGCTGGAAAAGCCTCCCTTTTGGGAAGGCATTTTCCATAAGGAGCAATTCCGCAGTGCTTGCTGCAAGAGGTTGAAACGTAGGGTTTGGGTTTTTTTAAAGTCCAGGGGGGCTTTGCTGTGTTGTGCTGAGCCCAAGAGCAGCCCCGGCTCTGGCAGTAGCACAGGGAAGGGCTCAGTTCCTCCTCTGCCTCCACCAGTCTCCTGCAATTTGCCCTCCTGACCCTCGTCCCCCCAAAACTCACATTTTCCTGCACCCCTCTAGCTTGTCCCTTGAAAAAACAGGCGCGGAGCTGGCTGGGCTGGCGGAGCTGGTTGCTCTTTGCATCTCAAATCCAGCCATTTTGGAGCAGTCCTGGCTCCGACCCGCACATGGAGCCCCTTCCAGCCATGGGCTTTCTGGTCCTAAACCCCTCCATCCTCCTCCACATCCACCAAGGGCTGCAGTGAGCGGCTCGGCTCTGGCCGGTGGCACCGGATTCCTGGGAAGGGTGGAAATTCATTCCCCTGGTTGTCTCAGCAATGGCTGAACGATGTGCCGTGCCCATGCCTGCCTCCCCTCCACCATTGCCATTGCGCTCTGGCTGTGAGGGACGGGGATGCTTTCCACCTGCAGCTCGGTCCAGTCGGAAACCAGTTTGCTCAAACCTGGCCCCAGTTGCAGCCAGGAGCGGAGCAGCCCCTTCGGCGGCAGTGCTTGGCATTACGGGAGGGTTTTGCTGGTCTGTGCTTGGATTACTCGCTGCTAGAAGAGGCTCCTGAGCATGGGGAAGAGCTGGGTTGAGGAAGAGGAGGATAGGAGCCTGGGATGGGTGAGGTGCCAGGGCTGGCATGAGCAAATCCGATCAGTCACCACGAGGGCCCAGAGTATATTTAAACGTCCTTGAGGAGGGCTCAGATGGACAGAGCTGCTGGGAGAGTGGCTCTGTTTGTTTTGGGTGGCGTGTTGCTCCCCTTCCTCTCTGCTCGGGTAGCTGATGCCGGATTCCCGATGAATTATTTATCATGGGACTAAAAATACTCAGGAATTCACAGTGAGGAGCGGGCGGTGCAGGCCGCCCCACCGCTGGGCTGCCCCTTGGGTGATGGTGGGTGCTGGGGATAGATGATCCCCCGCTTAAATCCATCTGGCTGAGAGAGATGCTGCCCGGGGACCATCGGTGCTGGGCTGAGTACCTGAGCCCTCCTGGTACCCATGGGGTGTGGGAGGGGGAGGTGGGGCTCACGTCCCTTTTCTCTCTAGAGGGGACAGCCCTGGTGCTCAAATCCGCACCGAGCAGCTCTTGCAGAGTGCCCAGCCAGGCAGTCATTGGGTTTATTTCTTGCGTTTTCAGTCCAACACGCTGACGGTGTTTTCACAGTGTGTCGAGGCATTGTCCATCACTGCGGCACGGAGGGGTGTTGGGGTGCGGGTTCCCAGGGCAGCCCAGATCCCCAGACCATCCGGGACTCAGCAAGGCGCTCCTCTGGCCGTGCCGAGGATGCGTTAAGCAACAGCAGCTTTTAATTGCAAGTGACGTTTCTGAGCGCCAGCTGGCATCTTGCTGCATGGAGCGACACCGGCGTGTGGCTGGTGCCACCGCAGAGGGCTGCTTGTCCCCCTCCCCACTGCCCAATGTGGCACCAGGGTGATGGCCCTGGGGGCAACAGGGCTTGGAGGGGCTCAGATGCCCCCATCCACAGGTCTTGTGGGCTCTGAGGAAAGGGTGAGCTCCAGCATGGGGGTGCATTGCTGTGGCAGGGACGTGTACCCCCCCAGGGACTGTCACCCCACCTGCTGCAGGCTGGGTACCCGCAGTCAGGGGGGAATTGGGGACCTGGCAGGGGGACGTGCCCAAACACCACCCCACCCCCCAGAGCCTGGCTTTGGGCTGCAGCCAGCAGAGACGCAGTGCGGTGGTGTCCCAGCCGGGCAGGCAACGCCAGCGGGGGACACACACCGGGGGGTAAAGGCGAGAAGGGGAGAAAGCTGAAGGATGGTGTCTAGGGGGGGAAACGTGGAGATAAGGGGCCAGGCAGGCGCTTTGCTTGGGATTTGGGAAGCGGCAGCGAGGGGGCAGGGGGCAGGCAGGGGACCGGCTGCTCCAGTGACTGTGTGATTTGCAAAATCCCAACATGGGGGTTGCAGAGCTGAACCCTCCCTCAAGGGCAAAGTCTTTAAATATTGAAGGTGGCTGTCAGCTGTGGAGAGCTTCCAGCTCCTCCTGTCACCTCTCGCTGCTGTCCCGGTCCCCGGCCAGAGGGGCAATAAGGAGCATCATAGCAGCGATGGCTTTTGGAGAGGGGATAGGGGAGGGAGGGAAATGGGGCTGGGAGGGGGATGGTGGTGGTGGTGGGAAGGGACAACAGGCTGGGAAGGGTTAGTGGTTGGTGGGACTGGGGACAAGGGACATGGCACTGGGGTGTATGGTGTGGGGAGCAACACCTCTGTGACCCCCTAGTGGGTACAGCGCTGTGGCCATCCCTCCACCAAGTCCAGCCTCTGAAGGATGAGGGTCCCCCTCTCTCCCTGGGGTCAGCCCACCCTGGTGCTGCCCTGGGGTGGTGGGGAAGGCTGGGGTGAGCGGGGCTGGGGGTCCTGGCAGGCAGCCAGATGCGAGGGGCTGTGTCCCATCCTGGCAGGGACGCGGCGGTGGACATGGGCAGAGCGCCGGCACACACTCTGCTACTGTCGATGGTGCTGGGCTGCTCGGCTGCCTTCACGGACCTCCTGCTGCCAGGCCCTGAAGAGCCGGTGGTCAACGTGGCCGTGGTGTTTGGGGGCACGTCCTACCCCCTGCACATCCGCTCCCGCTTGAGTCCCCAGAGCTTCCTGGACATGCCCTTGGAGATCCACCCCATCACCGTCATCGTCAACAACACCAACCCCAGCACCCTCCTCACCCAGATCTGCGACATCCTTGCCAGCCACAAGATCCACGGCATCGTCTTTGAGGACAACGTTGGCACGGAGGCTGTAGCCCAGATCCTTGACTTCATCTCCTCCCAGACCCAGGTCCCCGTCATCAGCATCAGTGGGGGGTCTGCAGTGGTCCTGACCCCGAAGGTGAGGCATTTTCTGGGGGTTATTTCTGGGGGGGGGGGGGCAGAAATGAGGGATTATTAGAGAGGGGTAGATTTGGGATATGAAATGCTGGAGGGCAGAGGAGCTGTTGGGCTGCAATATGCGGGCTTGTGGGCAGGAATAGGCAGTGGCTGCGGCAGCGTGGCTGACCGGGGGGGTGGGACATGGAGGGGATGTCAAGGAGGGTCCCTGTAGATGGGATGGGGGAGAGGACTTTAGTGCCCTGTGGAGAGACCTTCCCTGGTGTCCTGCTTCCTGTCCCCTCCAGGCTGTGCCCACCACAGGGTGCCGGGGTCATGGTGCTGAGCCTGCCAGGGCAGCGGCATGGTTGGCAATGTCCCCATCCTCCTCCCTCCCCTCCCTGCCGTGGCTGGATCCAGCCCTGAAATGGCCGGGCAGGCAGCATGGGGAAGCCTTGCTCGGCTGCAGCAACCATCTCAGGTGCACCACAGGCCGAAACAGGATTTTTGGCTTCTCTGCTCCTCGCTGGTGTCAGACACTGTCACTGTCACCCGCCGGGGAAGTGTTGGGGGCAGGGAGAGCTGGAGCCAGGCTGGAGGGTGCTGGGCAGGCAGCGATGGGCTGTGGCGAGGCTCCCATGCCTTCCAGGGAGGAGATTTGGGTTATCTCCTCCTGGCTGCTGGTCTCACCCTGGCACCAGAGGGGTCCCAGTGCTGGCTCCTTCCCATGGCAGCAGCCCCCGGGGTGGAGACCCTGCTGCTCCTTGGGGCACTGGTTTCATGCTCTGTTTGCTCAGAGGTTTTGGGGTCTAAACCCCCTGGTTGTTACCTCGGCAGCCCTGCCTACACCGACTGGTGCTTCTGGAGCACCCCGAGCTTCTGCTTGCTGTGGGTGCGTGGCAGTGGGTGCAATGGACTTGGATGAGTGCAATGGACTCGGGCGGGTGCAGAGGGCTCAGGTGGAGCTCCAGGCAACTAAAAAATAGCTGTGGCTTTGCTATGGACTGGGTATTTTCCTGCAGCTTTCTCCAGGGGTTGGGTATTTTGGGGGCAGTGGAGGGACCCGTCTGAAGGCTCGACCTCCTCCTCCTCCTCCCATGGATCTGAGGTCCCTGGCAGCTCCCACTCCCTGGCTGGGACTCCCCGGGCTCACCCCTTCAGCCAGACCACCAGCCTCATTGCAAGAACTATTTCTCTGGAGGCGGAGGGGGGTCTGGGTGGTAAAACCCTGCCACCTGCATGCGACCTTCTGCAAATGCCATTCACTGAATCATTTAAGACAGAATCAGATCAATTAAGGTTTGCTAATGAGAGGGCCAGATGGCTGGGGAGGTGGGGTGGGAGGGAAGGAGTTGCGTGCGCTCAGGCAGCAGGTAGTGAGTCGGAGCCGGGATGGGATTTATGCTCCTGGCAGAGCCCTTGCCCCCCTCCCTCTCCTGGTTTAAGGAGAGATTCTTGGTCTCCTTCAGAGGATGGATGAATTTTTGGTCAACAAGCTGAGAAATGGAGGAGAGGCCACAGGGCTTGACCCTTTGCATGGGATGAGGTTCCTTGGAGACCACCAGTGGATCAGTCTTATTTTGGGTGTCTCCAGCCCCATGGACCATGCCAGTTCATGGCTCCCTAGAACCCTTCATGATGGCAAATTCAAGGTGTCTTGCACAGGTGCAAGAGACCTGGCCCATGGTGCCAGAGCAGCCCCTGACCCCTTCTCCTCCCGCAGGAGCCTGGCTCGGCTTTTCTGCAGTTGGGTGTCTCCATCGAGCAGCAAATCCAGGTGATCTTCAAGGTGTTGGAGGAATACGACTGGGGCTCCTTTGCTGTCATCACTAGCCTCTACCCAGGCTACAACATCTTCCTGGACGTCATCCGCTCCTTCACAGACGCCAGCTACTTCGGCTGGGAGCTGCAGGAGGTGCTCACCTTTGAGATGAGCCAGGAGCGGAGCAGCTCCAGGACGCAGCGGCTCCTGCGGCAGATCGATGCCCAGGTCATCGTTGTCTACTGCTCACGGGAGGAGGCTGAGTACCTCTTTGCCATGGCAGAGCAAGCTGGCCTTGTGGGGCCAGGCTATGTCTGGATCGTGCCCAGCCTGACAGTGGGCAACATGGAGGTGCCACCTGCCTCCTTCCCCGTCGGCCTCATCAGCGTGGTGACGGAGAGCTGGAAGCTGAGCCTGCGGCAGAAGGTGCGGGATGGGGTGGCCATCATTGCCATGGGGGCGGCCAGCTTCTTCCGGGCCCACGGCTACCTCCCAGAGGTGGGACGGGACTGCCAGGCCCCTGCTGGGGCCACCACCACCAACATCAGCTTCTACCGGTGAGGCTCAGGGGCACACTGGGATGGGTGTGAAATGGGGGAATGGGGAAATGGAGAGGGAAGGGGCAGGGGAGGAGGAGGATGGAGCTGGTGGGTGGGGGGGATGTTTCTCACTATGGGCTGCAGCTGCTGGTCCGTGTCTCTTGGCTGGGTTTCTCCTGGAGCACCTTCCCAGAGCAGCCCTTGCCTTTTCTTGTGCTTCTCTGTGACCCGGGACCCACGGGGGTCTCAGGGAGGGTTTCACAGCTCTGCTTTGCAGTGCGGATGTGGCACCTCAGGGCTTCTGTGGCAGTCTGGGCATCCTCAACCCTGCAGTGGCCCATCCTCGGTGCCTCCTTGCTAGCAGGGCTTTCTCCAGCTCCCTGCTGCTCCTTCGTAGGGGCTAAACTTGGTCTCCAGCTCAGCCCCACATCTCTCCATGGGACCTGTGGCAGCCTGCCTGGAGGAGGAGGAGGAGGAGGAGGAGGGGGAGGGCTGTGCGGGGTTGGGCTGCACAGCCAGGGACTTACGGGTGCTGTGTCCCACCAGGCACCTCCTCAACGTGACGTGGGAGCACAGGGACTTCTCCTTCAATGAAGGCGGCTACCTGATCAGGCCCACCATGGTGGTGATCTCGCTCAACCAGCACAGGCTCTGGGAGATGGTAGGACCCCTGGACCCCCCAGGACGGGCACACTGAGGGGGTGGGTGGGCAGGGTGGGCCTGGGACCACGCATAGGCTGGGTCTGATCCTGGGGCAGGTTGCCCCATGCAAAACCCGTGGCTGTTACCAAAAGTACCCATGGTGGCATGGTGGGACTTCGTGGCAATGCCAGGCACCAAAGCTCTGCCAAGAACTGGGTTTTTTTTTCCCTGCAATTTGGCTGAAAAGTTCCAAGAAAGGCAAAAATGCAGCTGCCAACCTCTGGAGAACAGCAGCCAAGCACCTAGACCTGAAAGAAGCTGTGCAGAGGGTTTTTTTTTCCTAGTTTAGAAGTATTTTGGGTGAAGTTTGGCCAGGTTTATACTCACCCAAGCCTGACGCTTGGGGCCCTGGAGGAATCACTTTGCCTTGTGGTCAGTGGGTGCGTGGGAAGGGGATGCTGAGATGAGTCTCACCATGGCTGAGCTCCGGGAGAAACGAGCCCCAAAGGTGTGGGGAGGATGGACACAGGACCCCATGTGACCCCCAGAGCCCCTTGCTGGGGTGACAGTGCACTCTCCCTTGGGGGCAGGTCGGCAAGTGGGAGAAAGGCATCATCCACATGAAGTACCCGGTGTGGCCCCGCTATGGCTCCTTCCTGCAGCCCGTGGC